AGTAGCTAAAACATAGAAATAGTAAAAGCATGAAAATAGTAGCTAAAAGCATAGAAACAGTAGCTAAAACAGAAATAGTAAAAGCATGAAAATAGAAGCTGAAAGCTTAGAAATAGTAGCTAAAAGCATAGAAATAGTAGCTAAAAGCATAGAAACAGTAGCTAAAACAGAAATAGTAAAAGCATGAAAATAGAAGCTGAAAGCTTAGAAATAGTAGCTAAAAGCTTAGAAATAGTAGCTAAAAGCATAGAAACAGTAGCTAAAACAGAAATAGTAAAAGCATGAAAATAGATGCTGAAAGCTTAGAAATAGTAGCTAAAAGCATAGAAACTGTAGCTAAAACAGAAAAAGTAAAAGCATGAAAATAGAAGCTGAAAGCATAGAAATATTTGCTAAAACAAAAATAGTAAAAGCTTGAAAATAGTAGTTGAAAGCATAGAAATACAGTAGTAGCCAAAATATAGAAATAAAAAAGCATGAAAATATAGTAGCTGAAAGCTTAGAAATAGAAGCTAAAAGCCAAATGTAGCAATAAGCTGGAAGCAAGTTTAAATGTAATATTTTAAAAAACCCTCTACCTGTCAGAAAAAAAAAACACATTTTAGAAACAAGCAGCAGTGAGATGATGAAGAGGAGCAGACAGACACAGACCCCTCCCAGTCCCCCCTTGACCCCGCCCCTCCCTCTCTCCTCCCTCTCCTCCCTCCTTCCGGTTCTTCAGAAGAGTGTCGAGCTCCGGAGATGAGAGGAGGTAAAACTGAGCTGCGTCGTGTTTTAGGCTCAAAACTGCGCTTTACTCTATTTTATTTTTTTATTGTGTGTGTGTGTGTGTTGTTGTTGTTGTTGTTGTTGTTGTTGTTGTGTGAGTATCTTTAAAAACTTTAAGCATGTTGAAGATGACACAGTTAGGGCTGAATTTTTTTATTTGATTAGATTTGATTCTAAATATTTTCTCTGTTTCTGATGATTCTGAAGTTGTGAAGGATTTAAAGTGATTGTGTTGTCATTGAGCCAGGCAGCAGATGTAAGGAGGATCCAGGGCCGTTGTTAGGAAGTATGAACTCTGGGGGCCCTGCCCAGAAATACTTATTTTTTACTTCATCCCAAAAACCAATATGTATTTTTAAATAAACAACTAAACTTCATAAAAAAAGGTAAGTCAGTTATTATTTCTTTGGTGTAACAAAGCTGTTTGGGAAAAAAAAATCAGCTCTACTGCTTGTCCCTCAAATGCACGATCCTTACAAATGTGGCTTCATTTAAAAGAGAGATGAACAGACTTTCCAACAATAAGATTTATCACCATTATAAGATTAATCATTGAAATAATCTAACAAACACTATAATTTACTGACTTTTCGTCCCAAGTTTAGAAAAATTGTAATTTTCTGTGACAATAAACGAGGACAACTGAATGACCTGAACTTTCATAAACAATCTAAAACATTCTTAAAGCTGAAAGAAGCATAACATGAGCTAAAAGTTAAAATCCAAAAAGTAGCAAAACACTGGTTAAAAATAGCAGAAGACTAAAAGCAAAGAGGAGTGTAGGGGTCGCCTCGAGAGAGAAAACAAGAATTTCTGCCTCGGACGGACCTTCGAGGAAGTCAGAAACTCTTTTCTTTGCATTTGTTAAATCAAAGATAATGTTTGTCACAGTCACATGGCAGAAGTAGAATGACTTCTTTTCTCTTATTGTGCCTTAAAGATTTATAAATGTTTATAAAAGAACCACAGAGAATGTGATTGCAATGTTTTATTCTGTTTGATGTAAATCGTTGTTTTTATTTTTGCTGTGAACACAGTAATACAGCGGGTAAAATAAGTATTGAACACGTCACCATTTTTCTCAGTAAATATATTACTAGAGGTGCTAATGACATGAAATTTTCACCAGATGTTGGTAACAACCCAAGTGATCCATACATACAAAGAAATCAAACCATAAATGTCCAGAAATGAAGTTATTTGTAATAATGTGGAATGGCACAGGGAAAAAGTATTGAACATACTTATTGAAATTTATCTAATACTTTGTACAAAAGCCTTTGTTGTCAATGACAGCTTCAAGACGCCTCCTGTATGGAGAAACTAGTGGCATGCATTGCTCAGGTGTGATTTTGGCCCATTCTTCCACACAAACAGTCTTCAAATCTTGAAGGTTTCGTGGACCTCTTCTATGAACTCTGATCTTTAGTTCTTTCCATAGGTTTTCTGTTGGATTCAGGTCAGGTGATTGGCTGGGCCATTCCAGCAGCTTTAGTTTCTTTCTCTGAAACCAACTGAGAGTTTCCTTGGCTTTGTGTTTGGGCTCATTGTCTTGCTGAAATGTCCAGCCACGTTTCATCTTCATCATCCTGGTAGATGGAAGCAGATTTTTATCAAGAATGTCTCTGTACATTTTTCCACTCATCCTTCCTTCAATTATTTGAAGTTTGCCAGTACCATATGCTGAAAAACAGCCCCACACCATGATGTTCCCACCTCCAAACTTCACTGTTGGTATGGTGTTTTMGGGCTGATGTGCAGTGCCATTTGACCTCCAAACATGATGTGTATTCTGGCATCCCAACAGTTCAATGTTGGTCTCATCTGACCAGACTATATTCTCCCAGTATTACACAGGCTTGTTTAAATGCTGTGCAGCAAACTTTAAAGGAGCTTCAAAATGCTGTTTCTTCAGCAGTGGAGTCTTGCGTGGTGAGCGTGCATACAGGCCATGGTGGTTCAGTGCATTACTTATTGTTTTCTTTGAAACAATCGTACCTGCTAATTCCAGGTCTTTCTGAAGCTCTCCACAAGTGGTCCTTGGCTCTTGGACAACTCTTCTGATAATTCTTTTCACTCCTCTGTCAGAAATCTTGTGAGGAGCACCTGGTCGTGGTCGGTTTATGGTGAAATAATGTTCTTTCCACTTCTGAATTATGGCCCCAACAGTGCTCACTGGAACCTTCAGAAGTTTAGACATTCTTCTGTAACCGATGCCATCATTATGCTTTGCAACAATAAGGTTGTGAAGGTCTTGAGAGAGCTCTTTACTTTTACCCATCATCAGATGTTTCTTGTGTGATACCTGGCCATCATTTGGGACTGAACCAGCTGATATTAACTTGCACTGACAAGGGGCAGGCTTGCTTTCTAATTACTGAGAGAGTTCAGCTGGTGTCTTGGCTTTCCATGCCTTTTTACACCTCCCTTTCTTCATGTGTTCAATACTTTTTCCCTGTGCCATTCCACATTATTACAAATAACTTCATTTCTGGACATTTATGGTTTGATTTCTTTGTATGTATGGATCACTTGGGTTGTTACCGACATCTGGAGAAAATTTCATGTCATTAGCACCTCTAGTAAAATATTTACTGAGAAAATGTTGACATGTTCAACACTTATTTTACCCGCTGTATATTATATAATTATGGATTTTTCTTGAGAAAATCTTTCATTTATCTTAGAGTTGATTATGAAACAGTAATGTTTACCTGTCTGAAGTAATCGTCATAAAATGTTTGTTGAAACTGGGTTTCTGCTCAATATAACATTGATTCGTTTTTTCCGTCGATTTCATTTAAAGAGTTCTCATCAGAGAATAGCTGAGCAGGTCGTCATGATGTGTTGTTTATTCAACTATGCAGAAGCAATAACAGCTTGTTAGCTGAAAATCTAACTGAAGAGCCAACGAGTAGATTTTACAGCTAGGGACTCGATACCATCGACCGGTCGTGAACACGAGGCCTTATGTCTTCCTCAGCAGTTATTATTTTTACCTTCCTTGGGAAGCTATTTTATTTTGAAAAGAGGACCGGATCGGCTTTCCTCTCATTCGGAATTGAGGCAGACAAAGGCTAACCTTTCCTTATACCCAAAGTGACCTGAGAAGTCATCAAAGGTAAAGGCTGAAGTGTTTTTTGGTGACCTGAGTCCGGTTGAAACCGAGTGCGGAGACGTGTGCCAGATCCGGTTAACTCACACTTGGTAACAGAAAAAGTAGAGATACTAATCTTAATTTCCGTCTTTTCTTAAACTACTAGCCTTGCCAGAATCTAAGTTTAATGTGCCAGTAAATGTTTGGTTTATTCAACATCTGAACTGACGTTACTGTTTCTATTCTGAGTGTTGAGTTGATACTGGTCGAGTTCGGATTCGTACTCATATCTTATTGATTCTAAACTTGTTATGGGAATATTGATTACTCACAATTAAGTTGTTAACTGATGATTTGTTTAATTTATGTAAATAAACGATCTCATTTTGTTTATGGATCAGATTGAACTGATTGAGTTGGCTCATTTATTGTGTATGCATACAGCGGTCACTCTTTCAGGGATGAAGATGTTCTCATCCTTGATAGAGAGGAACGTTGGTTTGAGAGAGGAGTAAAGGAAGCCATCTTTGTCAAGAAAAACCATCCACCATTAAACAGAGGTGGAGGCCTTCATGTCCAGTTGTCCTCCTCCTACAACGCTGTTATTGCAAGTATGACTCCGCCCCCTGTGAGCAAAAGGTGTGAATCAGGGCCCCAACGATACCAACACAAAGAGGGAAAGAGGGACAAAAACAAGGGGACTTMGAGCCCCGCCTGCATTCACTACATACACATGACACGACACGGGTCAGATGATGGGTCACATGACCCTCTATGAACAACAGAGCTAATCAAGCCTATTGTTAGTCGATGGCCCTCTCTTGCATGTGTAAGAGATGAGTTATTTATGCAAATAACTTACCTTACATCTTCTCATAATAAAGTTAGGAGAGTAAATTTTTACCAAGGTTTTCCTCATTACTTTAATATTTGTCTGTGCAAAGTGAAGTGACACAATTAGGGAACTCAGACTGGTTCAAGTTGATTCATAAAAGATTATGCAATCATTTATTTACACAAATTGAACAAAATCATAAATTACACCTAATTGTGGTTTATTTATAACAAGCGTCTAAGTTAAAATGAGGTAAAACTCGCGTCCGAATTTCCTTCACATTAAAACCCAGATTACCTATACAGTATATAAACAGTAAAACGTCAGTTCTGATGTTAAAACTAAACGATTTGCTGGCACTTCACTTAGGGGTTGGCAAAGGATTAAGGTAAGAAAAGGTAAGGAAATTAAGAGTTAGTGTTTCTGTTTTAATTTTGAAAGATTTACAACCGGATTCAGCACGTCCCCTCTGAGCTCTCAGCTTCAAGTTGACACGTCACCCACGAACATGTCAGCGTTACCTGGAGTGGTCTGCTTAAGAACCCCTGGTCTGGCTGTCTCACCGACGACCCTCCAGGATGCTTGTCCTCGCTGGTCCTTGGTGAAAAGGTGTCTTTTAGGTGACCTTTAGTCCGCTTCAGCCCGGCCAGAAAGATTCCAGCTGTGGTTTCGGTCGTCTTTCAAAATATAAGTCTCCCTCGGGAGATAAAAACACTTTAAAGAGACCTGGGTCTCTTAGGTGGGCAGGAGCTGCTGGCTCCTTGCCCGGGACTTCAGGTCACCCTATTTAGCTGATGGGTGAAGCCTGAGGCCCAGCTGTTTCTCCGAAGAGACTCAGCTTCGTCCTCCTGTCTCGGCCACAGGAAGAAGACTGCTTGTGTCTGTCTAAGGCGTCCGTGTTAGTAAGTCAGAGTGAACTTGGATAAGCCACAGTCTGAAAGGAAAAGAAGATAAGAGGGTTGCCAGCTGTAAGTGAAGGTCACTTGCTCTGCTTCTTACAGACATTACGTAAAAGAAATCACTGTAAACTTTTATCATGATTAATTAACACTCTGTTTAAATAATCAGTCTGAACTTGTGTCCATATAAATGTAAGATTTTCTTAAGAAAACTCAAAATTATATTACTGATGTTTCAGTAAAATAAAACAGTGATTTATAAAAACACAATGAAAAACATGGTGATGATTTTCTGTGATTCATTAATCTCTTTTAGGCACGATAAAAGAATAGAAGTGATACTTTCTTTCTTTGTGACAGTCATTATTATGATTAACAAATGCTTAAACATTCTTAGTTAAACAACCAATGAATCATGAACAGAACAGATTTTTTCTGTTTAATATCTGATTAGAGAGAACTGAAGTCCTCGTGTAGGTTAAAATGACCCATCATGGCCTAAAATAAGAGTTCAGCGTTCCTGTCTCCTCTCAGGCCTGTGCGAGACCTGCTTTGAGGCAGTAACTCCTGTTTCTTCACTCGAGGTGACCCCTACACATGTGACTAACCTGTTTGTCCACGTGGAGGCAGTGCTTCTAAGGCTGAGTTCACCTGAAACTCATCAGACTGAAGAAGTCTCTTGGAGGAGAGACGAAACGTTTCACTAAAGAAGAACCCATCCAGAGGACCTACTTATTTTTTCTTTTTGATTTTTTTCTACCTGGATTACTGAGATGCATCAGATAATTTCCTCATAAGAAGCCTTATATAAGCGTTTCTCCTACAGGAGCAATTGGCTAGCTAAAAGCTAGAGTAGCAAAAGGCTAGCAAAATGTAGCTAAAAAATAGCTAAAAGCTAAACATAAAGAAAGAAAAAAGATTTTAAAGAGAACAGTTATTTTGAAGGAATAAAGAATCTTGATGTTTCTCCCTGGGGACATATTTGTAAATATTTGTAATTATGAATATTTTTTATATTTTTATTTTATTTTTATGTTTTTTTTTTTCATCAAACCCTGCGGAGAAATAAAACCTTGTGTCGACTGGAAGCTTTTACTGCTTAATTTTTAAAATCTTTTGAACTTCAGATTTCTCCTGAACGACACGTTGCTTAAGCCTTTTCACCGTTCAGCAGGAGTTCTGGAGGAGAACCCTGGAGGAGCCAGGAGGAGGCTGCCCCGGCTGAAGATCTGGGGCAACAACAAACAGAAGAACCAGCATGAAGGTCAGAACCGATCCAGTTCAGTCTGCTTTAAAGACGATGTCTGGACCATGTAAGACTGATCTGTGTCCCTTTTCCTGGGTCCCTCAGAGGACCAGCTGGACGCCTCGCAGCAGGAGGAGCAGCAGCAGGAGGAGCAGCTGGAGGACATCAGTAGGAGGCTGATTCTCAGGGAGGAGGAGCTCTTCAGCCAGGATGTCCGGGGGGAGGAAGAGGAAGACCAGCTGCAGCGGGACTTTGAGGATCTGAGGATCCAGATCTGGATCACCGTCCACGGCACCTTCACCTCCGAGACTTCGAGAGACCTGGAGGTCCTGAGGAGCGCCATGGCCTCCATCCAGCAGCAGGAGCAGCAGGACCGGCGCTGGCAGGGCTGTCCCAAAGACCAGGTCCCGGTGTGGCGTCCTCAGAGGTGGCTCAGTACCCACAACCAGCTGCTGCAGAAGATGGTGGAGGCCAGACTGTCTCAGGCCGCAGAGGACAACTCTGCTGAAGTGGACCAGCTGTCCTCTGCTGTGAAGAGACAGGTGACTGCGTCTGTCAGGTCTGTCAGCAGGTCCAAACAGGTCTGTCAACAGGTCCAAACTGGTCCAGTCAGGTCCAAACAGGTCTGTCAGCAGGTCCAAACGGGTCCAGTCAGGTCCAAACAGGTCTGTCAACAGGTCCAAACAGATACAATCAGATCCAAACAGGTCCATACAGGTCTATCAACAGGTCCAAACAAGTCCAAACAGGTCCAGACAGGTCTTTCAACAGGTCCAAACAGGTCCAGACAGGTCTATCAACAGGTCCANCAGACAGGTCTATCAACAGGTCCAAACAGGTCCAAACATCTCCAGACAGGTCTATCAACAGGTCCAAACAAGTCCAAACAGGTCCAGACAGGTCTACCCACAGGTCCAAACAAGTCCAAACAGGTCCAAACAGGTCTTCAACAGATCCAAACAGGTCTTCAACAGATCCAAACAGGTCCAGACAGGTCCAAACAGGTCCAGTCAGGTCCAAACAAGTCCAATCAGGTCCAGAAAGGTCCAAACAGGTCTGTCAACAGATCCAAACAGGTCCAAACAGGTCTATCAATAGGTCCAAACAAGTCCAATCAGGTCCAGGCAAGTCTAAACAGGTCTATCACGGTCCAAACAGGTCCAAACAGGTCCAATCAGTCTGACAACAGGTCCAAACAAGTCCAAACAGGTCCAAACAAATCCAGTCAGGTCTGTCAACAGGTCCAAACAAGTCCAAACAGGTCCAGACAGGTCTATCCACAGGTCCAAACAAGTCCAAACAGGACTTCAACAGATCCAGACAGGTCTTCAACAGATCCAAAAAGGTCCAGTCAGGTCCAAACAAGTCCAATCAGGTCCAGACAGGTCCAGTCAGGTCCAAACAGGTCTGTCAACAGATCCAAACAGGTTCAAACAGGTCTATCAACAGGTCCAAACAAGTCCAGTCAGGTCCAGACAGGTCTAAACAGGTCTATCACGGTCCAAACAGGTCAAGACAGGTCCAAACAGGTCCAATCAGTCTGACAACAGGTCCAAACAAGTCCAAACAGGTCCAAACAAGTCCAATCAGGTCTGTCAACAGGTCCAATCAGGTCCAGTCAGGTCTGTCAACAGGTCCAAACAGGTCCAATCAGGTCCAGTCAGGTCTGTCAACAGGTCCAAACAGGTCCAATCAGGTCCAGTCAGGTCTGTCAACAGGTCCAAACAAGTCCAAACAGGTCCAAACAGGTCCAAACAAGTCCAAACAGGTCCAGGCAGGTCCAGTTAGGTCTAAACAGGTCCAATCAGGTCTGTCAACAGGTCCAAACAGTTCCAGTCAGGTCCAGTCAGGTCCAAACAGGTCCAAACAAGTCCAAACAGGTCCAGTTAGGTCCAAACATGTCCAATCAGGTCTGTCAACAGGTCCAAACAGGTCCAATCAGATCCAGTCAGGTCTATCAGGTCCAAACTGGTCCAAACAGGTTCAGTCATGTCTACCAGGTCCAAACAGGTCCAATCAGGACCAATCAGGTCTATCTGGTCCAGTCAGGTCTATCAGGTCTGTCAGGTCCAGTCAGATCCAATCAGGTCCAAACAGGTCTATCTGGTCCAGTCAGGTCCAAACAGGTCCAAGTAGGTACAATCAGGTATGTCAACAGGTCCAAACAGGTACATTCAGGTCCAGACAGGTCTGTCAGGTTCAAAGAGGTCCAATCAGGTCCAAACAGATCCAGTCATGTCTATCAGGTTCAAACAGGTTCAATCAGGTCCAGGCAGGACTATCAGTTCCAAACAGGTCCAATCATTTCTATCAAGTCTATCAGGTTCAGTCAGGTCCAAACATGTCCAATCAGGTCTGTCAGGTTTATCTGGTCCAGTCAGGTCCAAATTGGTCCAATCAGGTCTATCAGGTCCAGTCAGGCCTATCAGGTCCAAACAGGTCCAATCAGGACCAATCAGGTCTATCTGGTCCAATCAGGTCCAGTCAAGTCCAAACAGGTCCAGTCAGATCCAATCAGGTCCAATCAGGTCTATCAGGTCCAATCAGGTCCAAAAAGGTCCAATCGGGTCTATAAGGTCTATCAGGTCCAAACAGGTCCAAACAGATCCAGTCAGGTCCAGTCAGGTCCAATAAGGTCCAGACCATTAGATTTAGATCATTTCTAATTAACAGGAAAAAAATCCCAAAACATTTCAAATCATTTTTCAATTTATTATGTTTGACTAAAAACAGACAGAAAGTGGATAAAGCTGAAATGAAGGGCTGATCTGAGTTCCTCTGGGTTTCTTGGCTCCCTGTCAGGTGTGCTGCACGGGGAAGCGGGTGAAAGATGACCTGCTCACGGTGATGAAGACGGTGAAGGACTGTTACCCTACCAGCATGGACATCCTGAACATGTACGCCGGCCTCTACCACCGGACCTTCTCTCTCCGGCTGGTTGAGCTGAGCTCCTCGGAGCTGGAGATCAACGACTGCAGCTACCTGCTGTTCTGGGTCAACCACTGCTATCCACAGTGAGTCTGCAGCTGATCACAGGCTGGCTCCTGATCCTGCATCTGTTCCTCCTCAGGCTCCAGATGCATGGAGTTCTTATGAAACTGTTGGAAGAAAAACTAGTTTTCTCTGGTGGTTTCTTTTGAGGTGACTGCAGGACTAAAGTATCTAATTTAACTGGAAACAGAACAAGTTTCAGTTTCTCTTAATGTTTCTCTTCAGAGTTGTAGGAAGATTGTATGATTGAATCAGTCAGAGTGATTTGATTTAATCAGATTGAAGGTTATCTTTGGTTTTAACTTAGCATGTTGAGTTTATGGGAAAATAAGTTTTCATCTCCCTGCATCTGTGCACCACAGCTTGACAGCCATAGATAATTTGATTGAATTAATGTCTGTTCAGACAATGCAGGGACGAGGCCGGGACTGTTTAACTACCAGAGCAGTGAGAATCGATGTGTAATCACAGGGACTCTGAGTGTTTGATTATATAACTTGTGGTTTAGAAAACTGTAAAATGACCGTGTGGAGCTGGAACGGTTCAGAACAATGCTAAGAATGCTTTAGAATCTGATGTGCTGCTCTTGTTCTCTTGCAGAAACCACGTGACCATTAGGGATGGGTACCGAATTTGATACCTTTGATGTAAAGACCGAATTCTGTCGGTACTACCGAGTATCTATTCACGTAACATCAAATGGTACCATGTTTCGGTACCTAAACGCATCATTGCGAGCGGTTTGGCTTAAGAGTGGTGAGTTTTTCATGCTTCTCCTGAACGCAGCATCACGCAAAAGCGTAATGACATCAGCAGCCACTGGTTCAGTCAGTAATAGAGATGGGACAAATGGCTCTTTGAAGGGATCCGGATCTTGGGGAGCCGTTTGTTTCATAGAGCCGTTCAAAAGAGCCGTTCAATTTTGAACGTATTACGTCATCGCGTAGGAAAATACATCATCACGTAGCCGTACGTAATGATGTAATCCCATCACGTGGGTGGAACCATGTGTTTGTCAAGCGGAAACCCCCCTTCCCCTTTCACCCTGAGCTCCTGTACTCCACAACTCCGCCTGTTTTCTGTGAAAAAGCAAAGCGGGAGAGATTTAAGTATGAAAAATATAACGATTTTATGAGGAATAAAAGAAATAAAACTATAAATGGCTCGTTACTGCCCGCGATCTGGCTCCTATTGTTCGTTGTAAAGAGCCGTTCAAAAGATTTGGATCGTTAGCGAACGTCACGTCTCTAGTCAGTAAACAGAGGCAGCAGAGCTCGGTCTGAACGTAGCTGAAAGCCTCGCAGCTCCTGGAGTAAAATTTACCGAACAGACCGCCTCTGAATTATCTGGTGGATTAATTATATTGTGAACACAACGTTCACTTGCTCAAAGTAAATAAAATACCGCTACTTTCTTGATTTCATCCAGCATTAAACAAAGACCGGCAGAGGAAAACAACAGAGGGGCTTCCCGACAGTCCGAACACGTCTGACCTGAAGGAGCACAAGCAGCTAACTTGAAGTGTTGGACGCGTTTTGGATGCTCAAAACGTAGCTTGAATACCTTTTATTTATTTTAACTGCACCCTCTTTTGCTTATTTAATTTAAACTTATTTGCCTTCCATGGACCTCCATCACACAATTTTTCTAGCGGGGAAATGACATCAATAGAAAGACATGGAGCTGGATTTTAATTTGTGCAATAAGACAAAACAGTCTTGTTGTTTTCAACAGTTTTCACCTTAAAGAAATAAGTTACACAACTGATGTTACAATACAAAGAGATGGATGTTGTCTTGATATTGGTTAATTTTATATATTGAGAAATATGTTAAATAAAAAAATTAAAAAATAAAAGTTTATTATTGAAAAAACAACACACACAAAGTACCAAAAATTGGTACCGTTAAGTACCGGTATCGATTCGCAGGTACCGGATATTGGTACTGAATCGATTCAAAGGTACCCATCCCTAGAGACCATGTGATCGGCTGGAGAAGCTAACGGCTAACGCTAAACGGTCAAGACTCAGGATCTCCCATCACTGTACATGTTGACAACAGAGCAGAAAAAAAGGACTGACGATGTAGAAATCATTACAACTATTAATAAAAATATTAACCCAATTATTATTAATATTTTACAATTTATATAATCTATCTAATGTTTTAAATAATGTCAGAAAAGCTGTTTGTGTTATGGATTTATTAACTGAAGATAAACAGGAAAACGTCTCATTTTACAACACAAGTCAGCAGATTTGATCTTATTTAGCTCAATGTGATCTGAMCAGAACATAATGTAACAGTTTAAAATTAAAATAATCTGATAAAGTCCATGTAATCACTGTTATTTATTGAACTGGTTAACAGATATTAGCTTGTGGAGCATTTATACAGAGTTTAGCTCTGTTGAATCATGTTACAATTTAACACAAACTATTAAATACAGTGGTTTGCAAAAGTATTCATACCCCTTGAACTTTTCCATA